GTCGAGGTGTATCTATCTTTGTAGACAGAAAGCTTGCATACCTATCTCGTTGTCTTGGGCAAACGAACGGTGGTATAAAGTACGTCATGGTTGATATTCTTCTCTATCCACCATGCCGATGCCTGCGCAGGAACAGTCTTTACGTCATAACACCTATTGTAGTCCACGCAGCCCTACAGCCGCTTTCAACTCTCCTCAAGAAAGCTGCTGATTTAGCTAGCACACGGCTGCTGATTGTCCTCGGTGACTTGAATGCTCTGTAGGTGATATGCAGATATGCCTACAATACTCGCAAGGGCCGGAGTTTTTAGCAGAGCGCCATTGATGTCGATTACCTAGACTATGAAGTGGATTGTCTAGACTATGCAACTCTGGAATCTCCAGAACACGACCGTGATTTTACCGAGGCTGAGATCAGCAAGTCGTATTTGCCCTTAACAACAATTCTACTCCCGACCCGGATGACATCACAAACAAGATGCTCAAGAACTTCGGTGACGGGTCAATCACGTACTTGCAGACGATTATACGAGATCTGGAAGAGTGGACGCGTCCCACCCTGGTGGAAAACACCCTGCACTATTCTCATTACCAAACCAGGCAAGACTCCCTGTATAGACAACATCAGGCCAATAACTCTTACGTCCTGCATTGGGAAGGTTGCGGAGCACGCCTTTCTGAATCGACTCATGCGCCAGCTCCAGAAAACTGCGGCATACCCGCACAATATGATCGGCTTCCGCACTGGCCTCTCGGTGCAGTATGCCATAGATATGATTAGGCACCAGTTTCTCGACGGCAGAACGAGAGACACGAGAGCTATCTCGGGCGTGACTTTGAAAAAGCCTTCGACAACATCTCACGCGAACTTATTCTCAGCTCCATCCCGAAACTAGAGCTCGGGCTCAGGGTCTACAACTTTACTAGATCCTTCTTGAGTAGAAGAATCACCCGTCTCAAGATCGAGAGTTGCATGTCAGATGAAGTCGTCCTCGCATCCCGCGAAAACCTCAGGGATCATGGTATTTAACATTACCATGGCCCCGCCGGGGTGGTCTAGTGGTTAAGGTACTCGGATGCTGACTCGCAGGTGGCGAGTTCGAGTCCCGGCTGCAGCGGCTGCAATTCCCACGGCGGCGGAATGGGTGTAGGACCGTGTGCTCAGATTTGGGTGCACGTTGAAGAACCCCTGGTGGTCGAAATCTCTGGAGCCCACCACTACGGTGTCTCTCATAATCATATGGTGGTTTCGGGACGTTAAACCCCACACATCAATGAATCAATCAACATTACCATGATCGGCCTGTCCAAGAAACTTTCTGAAATCGAAGGAATCGGTCATTGTATTTATGCCCACTATATTACATTTTGATGCACCAGAGGCAGTGAGGGCCGACGATATTACATTTTGGGGCACCTGAGGCAGTGAGGACCGACACGAGTCAGTCATGCAAGAGGCTATTGACGTTACGGAGCAGTTCCTGCTTCTAACGGGCGTAAAATGCTTCCCGGCCAAGTCCGATCTCCTCCTGTACATGAGAGGCCATGGGAAGGTGGCTATCGGGATCGTCAGCCAGCTTCCGAAACTGGAATTCAACTCCACACTAGTGACGGCTCTTCAGTTGCGAAGGTTGACTCTATACGCGTACTCGGCATGTTCACCGAGTCAAAAGACGCTAATGGCATGGCGCTAAAAATATTGTTGCGAAAACCGGAAATTTACTAAGGATGATTGGAAGAATCTTCAGCAGGCACCAAGGCCTCAAAGACAAAGTTTGATCAGATTGTTCCACGCTTTTTCGGCATGTCGTGTCACTTACACTATGGCCATTCGCAACTGGGAGCATGCCGAACGAGAGAAGCTCAGCACACTCATACGCAAAATCATCAAGGAGGCGCTTGGTCTCCCAATTAAGACACGCACCGAGGAACTCATGAAGTTGGAAATACACAACACCCTGGAAGAGAACGCCGAGGCTTAGGAAAAAGTCCAACTACTAAGGCTCTCTGGTACACCGGCTGGCAGAAGAATACTCGAAGAGATTGGGCTCAACCCCCTAAATCACAAGCCGAACTACGCCTAGACCTCTACAGAAATTAGAAGCAATAATCACGTCACTTCCATCTGACGCAATGTTCACCTAGACCACCATCTCGGCAGGCGCAGGGGCTGAACCGCCGCAATCCTGAGAAGCTTGTTCCAAGAAGGCACCAATGTCAGTTTCATTGATGAAGCGAATTGCAAAGAACAAGACGCCTTCTTGGCTGTAGTCGTCAATATGCCATGCTACGTCGTCAACAGTACAGTAGTGCAAACATCTAAGCCTGAAAAGGCTGAGCAGGTCGCCATCGCACTCGCCATACTCGATGACCATCTAGAGGCCGTGTATAGTGACTCAAAAGCAGCCATCAGGGCCTTGCAGAGGGGTAGCATCTCCAGGTTAGCTCTCCGTGTACTACAAACCAGTGACCACGTTTCCTGTCACTCTTTACGCTGAGTCCCCGCGCACATTGGGGAGGTAATAGGAGTTCCCGCGAAAACGAACGAGGTCGCGAACGAAGCCGCGCGAGGATAGACACACCGCACCGCTTCTGATATTCTTATTTACCCTGGTCACATGGACGCACTGAACTTGTATAATGAAGTTACTAAGTGCTTTCATCTTGCGTGAAGGGCTTACCATCCTCCGCACCCTGAACTCAACAAACCCCAAGCAGTCGCCCTACGGCTACTCTAGGCGAAATCATATCCAAATCCTGCGCTTCTCCATGACGTCTTCCCGAAGGACCCGTGCTCGTCATGTGGTGAGACAGCCACATTAGAGCATATACTCAGCACGTGTCAAGACATGGACTCCAGCTTTACATTCGAGGATTGGGAGATGCTTCTACGCAGACCCATTCTCTTAGATCAGCTTGTGGCTGCACAGCGGGCCCACGAGGTAGCCGGCAGGCTCGTCATGCCGGTCCCTACGTGGGACTAAGCCGGGTCGTGTTTCACAGGGAGGAAATAAAGTTAATTTCCTTCCTTCCTTCACCGATAGGGCGTGTCATCGCATTGATGCATTTCCGAAGGCTACTCCAATAAATGGTGCGACGAGAGATCCTCTCTCCAAACGGTCACTGTACCTGTCGTTTACTGTGCTTTACTGCGATTGCTTTACTTTAACTTACTCTTCTCTCTTCACAAGCTTACGCGTGGGGAAGGGGGAAGGGGAGTTTCATGACTTCATACATTTACACAATCCGGTCAAACTACCGTAGATAGTCACGTCACAGGGATAACTGATGCTTGTGCCCCCCCCCTTCTGCCTACTCTCCTTCTGTTCTATGATCAACGCACTCGGTAAATTGTTAGAAATATGCAGTTACGTGCATCTGTGAGAGTTTTTGCTTATAGTTATTTGCATTCAATCAAGGGGTTACTAAAGATAGCTGGTGCACTGCTTGCGTGCAGAAACGCATTCAGCCTTCTTCAGAGGCCTTTGGACGCTTGAGTATTTCCGTAACAGAATAAACTAGTACAACAAGAATAAGCTGACCCGAAAGTTGCGCCACGTAATGCTGGCGGTGGCCGATGCGTTTCGACGCAGGAAAATACTGCTTGAGGCCCGTGTACTTTGATTTAGGCGCACGTTCAAGAAACCCAGGTGGAGAAAATTTGCGCAGATCTCCACTAAGGCGTCCTTCATAATCAAATGATGGTTTTGAAATGTAAAATCCCAGCAATTGTTGCAGTGGGAATGTCTTGCTTCTTATAACGAGATGTAAATTGGTTTCTATAAACTTTTCTTTTATCAACAATGCACCATTGCTTTTTTTTTAATTCTGTCCCCACAACGTTTAGATAGTGTAATTTGAACGACTTGCAGGTTCAAGAACAGCTACTGTTTTTTTTTATTTGAGGCCCTGTACTATAATAGCAAGTTTGACAGCATGGCTACTCTTTATTTTCATTAATGGTAATGATAACGTTATCAGTTGTTTTATGTCTGAAAGCCATAATACGATTATCAGAGAGGCCATATAGGGGACAACTCCAGAAATTTGGACCATTTCGTGTTTTTTACGTGCAGTTGCATCGCACCGTACAAGAGCATCTACTATTTCGCCTCCATCGAAATGTACACGTTCTTCGGGTCAGGTGGTGAGCCCCATAATTGCAGCTAAATCGTAGTGGACCATATCATTCTCCCATTTTATAGTTGCGGGTAAAAAGTAGAGACCATTGGGAATTAGATGCCCACCCTCGTACCATGTTATTGCAACTACAACAAGTGAGCTAATAAATACCCTGATTGATATTTGGGGTTTAACGTCCCAAAACCACTATATGATTATCAGAGATGCCGTAGTGAAGGGCTCTGGAAATTTCGATCACCTGGGGTTCTTTAACGTGCACCCAAATCTGAGCATCTGGGCCTACAACATTTTAATCAATACCTTGTTAAAGCGGCGGATTTGGCGAGTCGATTCCTTATAAGATAGATAGATAGATAGATAGATAGATAGATAGATAGATAGATAGATAGATAGATAGATAGATAGATAGATAGATAGATAGATAGATAGATAGATAGATAGATAGATAGATAGATAGATAGATAGATAGATAGATAGATAGATAGATAGATAGATAGATAGATAGATAGATAGATAGATAGATAGATAGATAGATAGATAGATAGATAGATAGATAGATAGATATCAATGCTGTTTAAATAAACTTTCAGAAGTCCTAATTCTCGTCTTCCTAAGACTCTGTTTAGGTTACGAGCTCATATTTGAAACATATATTCATCTAGTATCGCCTCCAGCCATTCTTCTATTTGCGTTAGGCGTGTGAAGGCACGTCATTAGAATTTGGCTCATGTTTTAACCGAGATAAAGCGAATAGTCAAAGCATTTGCCGCACCACACCCACTCATTCGTAACAAATACGAGACAATGGGAAATTATTTGATCTGATTGAGATCGTCCATTCCATTGACCTTTTTCAGGTTTCATGGGCATCCTGTACTCCACGACCAATGATCCTTGCCGAGGCACCTTGAATGTTACAGAAAAAGTACTCAACGGTGACTTCGGCAAATGTGGGTAGGTATGTTTTGTTGCCTCATTGAAAAGTACAGACGTGAGAGGAGAAACGTTTTGTCATTCCGGTTGTGGACGTATCTTCGTAGCAATATGCGCAGTAGTCAACTGGAAGAACAGAAGCGTTCGCAGTATTGCTACATGCGTGCATATTGATACTTTAGGGGGCGATGCGCATGTGTGCCTGACGAGAAAGGCAAAGGGTTGTCTCCGCTCGACCGCTGGTCAACTGGTCACGCCGTTATCGCTAGTTTCAAATACATCTAGTCCACAGCCTCATCAATACGGCGTCTCTTTTTTCCGTAACATTTTTGGTGGAGATGGAACGTTCCCCGTCCTTACCACGTAGCTTCACAGTGGCCGCGCCGTTCAGTCTCCGGTCACGCCTAGCAACAACAACCATTCATCACCGTCTCCATCTCTAGCTCCCGCCACTACATACCTGAAGATGCCCTACCTCCATGATCCCGGTACATTCTCCGCACAACCTGGGCTTGAGGTTGACTGCTGGCTCCATATGTACGAGCGTGTTAGCCAGACACACCGATGGGACACTACTGATATATCGTAGATTATCAGGTGCACGCGCCGAAGAACATACCGATAACACGTGCCTCCACCCCTCGCCACGGTGCATGCTCCGGCCTCGGGCCAGGGTATTAAAACCAAGACAGCAGCCTCGTGAATAAACATTGTTCCTTCTTGTTCTGGCCATGCATCGTCTTATTCTTCGCCCTTACGATACTACAGTGGCGACGAGGATGGGATCCGGTTAATTGCACTCCGACGCTGAGACCAGAAGAATGGGATCCCGACCTCCTGCCTTCGACGACGCCGTGAGTAGCTGGACCACGTATCGTGTCCGGTTGGAAGCCTACTTTGAGGGCAATGATATCACCGACGTAGCGAAATGCCGGGCCCTACTGGTTTCATCGTTGAGCGACAGTGTCGTCCGGATATTGCAAGGGCACCAGCCGGGGGTCGCCATCAACTCCTTGACGTACGATGACGTTGTGAAATGCTTGGAAGAACATTTCAACCCTCAGGCAAACGAAATAGCAGCGAGCTATTCTTTCTTTATGCGAAAACAAGATGAGCAAGAAAGCGTCCGGGACTACATTGCTGAACTGAGAAGACTGGCCGTAAATTGTAATTTCGGGGCGACACTGGACCGTATGGTGCGGGACCGAATCGTTTGTGGGATTCGGGATGAGGAAACGCGCCGGTGCCTGCTGGGCCGCAAGAACTTGACTCGTGAAGAAGCCGAAGAATTCGCCTTAGCTTCTGAGAAAGCGAACGAAGACGCTCGGGGCATGCGTACTTCATACGCCCGGACCGAAAGTGGCGGCGTCAACGTGATACAGCAACAAGACAGACAGTAGAGGAAGAATTGCAGCCTTTCATGCGAAAGATGCAAAGGGGCACATGCAACGGCGTCCTGTCGACATCGCAGATCCATATGCCATCAATGTGGTAAAAGAGGGCATCTTGCTAGGGCTTGCAAAAGACCCCACACCCCCAGGTCAGGAACGTTCGCTGTCGACGGAACCGAATGTGAAAGCGAAGAAGAGAGGTTGTATGCTCTCGTTGCACACAGTTCTGCCAATAAGCACTTGGTGCAGCCAATCGAGCGCACCTTAACGTGGGAAGGCCGTAGGCTGCGAATGATTGTCGATACTGGATCACCAGTAAGCGTGATTCCCAAAAGCTTGTACAAGAAGCATCGCAAGTGGTGGCCGGCTCTGCAAAAAACTCCACTACGCCTTTCATGTTTCCTGGGACCGTTGCCGGTCGTTGGCAAGGTAGACATGCAGGTACAGCTTGGACGAGTAACGGTGAGCAGTTCGTTGATAGTAGTGGACCATCGAGGGCCCCTTTTGTGCGGAAGGGACACGATAGAGGAATTTCGCAAAGCAGGCATGTTGCTAGTAGAAGGCACGTCGTCTTCGGTGAATGTTGTTCACGCCGACAGCCAGCTAACCGCACTTCTTGACGAGTTTCCGGACCTCTTTGAGAACCTCGGATGCTGTAAGGGACCACCGGTGAAGCTGTACCTCAAGGAAAGTGCGCAACCTCGATTTCTGAAGGCTCGGACAGTCCCGTATGCCATGAGAGCGCACGTCTCCGCCGAAATTGACCGACTGGTGGAAGTGGGCGTGCTGTCCCCAGTGAGCGTGGCTGAATGGGCAACACCGGTCGTGCCCGTAGTAAAGAAGAACGGAGACATCCGGCTGTGTGGGGACTTTAAGCTAACAGTTAATCCAGCGACAAGAACAGAGCAGTACCCGCTTCCGAAAATTGACGACATCTTTGCGGCGCTATCAGTAGGCGAAGTGTTCAGCACACTCGACTTACGAAACGCATACAACCAGCTTTCCCTGGATGATGATGCTAAGAAGATAACTGTGTTGAATACACACAAAGGCCTCTTCTGCTACAAACGCTTGGCTTTTGGCATTGCCTCAGCGCCTGCGCTGTTTCAGCGGCGCATAGAAGCCGTGCTGCAGGGTATACCAGGGGTGAAAGTTTACCTGGACGACATTATTGTAGCAGAAAAAGAGTATGACACAACGATACTGCGGCAAGTGTTCGAACGACTTCGGGCGAACTGCCTAACACTGAACAAGGAGAAGTGCCACTTCCGGGAGAAAGAAGTGGTATTTCTAGGGCACCGACTCGATGCAAAAGGCCTCCACCCACTGCTGGACAACTTGGAAGCAGTGCTAGCGGCACCGCCACCGACTTCGGTAAGCCAGCTTAAATCATTCTTAGGACTGGTCACATACTATTCCAAATTTCTACCGAACTTGTCGTCCACTTTGGCCCCGTTACACCGACTCTTGTCTAAAGGAGCACTGTGGTGTTGGGGGCCCGCACAGAGAACAGCATTCCAAGAAACCAAGCACGCCATGAGAAGGGCGAACTTTCTTGTGCATTACGACCCCCAAAAACCCTTGCGGCTTGAGTGTGATGCGTCGGCCGAGGGTATAGGCGCAGTTTTGTCGCACCGCATACACGGAGTGGATCATCCCATAGCGTTCCGCTCGAGAACTCTAACGTCGGCGGAACATAATTATTCACAATTGGAAAAGGAGGCACTAGCGCTGGTCTTCGGCGTTGTAAAATTTCGAGATTATTTGTTTGGCAACAAGTTCACTCTGGTGACCGATCACAAGCCTCTGACTGGTTTGCTAGGTCCAGATAAACCCATTCCGCAAATGGCAGCAGCCCGCATTCAACGTTGGGCGCTGCTCTTAGCAGCTTATCAATACGACTTGGAATACAGAAAAGGAGAGCTAAATGCAAATGCCGACACTCTAAGCCGGTTGCCATTACCGGTTCGCGATAATGGCTGGGAAAATGAACTAGCCGAATATGTCCTGCATGCGCAGGCTATGGATGATTTTGTTTTGTCTGCGCAGAGTATTTCAGACCACACCAGCAAAGATGACGTACTTCAGCAAGTGAAGACTTGGATCTTGCAAGGCTGGCCAAGGCGTCTCGGTTCAGAGGAACAGCAGTACCAACCGTATTTTGCACGGAGGCATGAATTGGCCGTGAGTAACGGGATACTCTACTGGGGCCACCGTGTGGTTCTGCCTACAGCTGCCCGGCAATTTGTTTTGAAAGAGTTGCACGATACGCACCCAGGCATGACGGCAATGAAGAACCTCGCGCGCTCAATTTTCTGGTACCCAGGGCTAGACGGTGAAATTGAAATGCTTGCAAAACGGTGTCCCCAATGCGTGCAGTGTTTTCCCATGCCCCCAGCGCAAGTCCCGGAAAACTGGTCAAAGAACAACAGACGGTGGTACCGCCTACACGTGGATTTTGCTGGTCCCGTGGAAGGGCATAAGATCTTCGTCCTCGTCGACGCCGAGACTAAGTAGATCGAAGCAGTGCCCTTGAAGACGGCGACAGCAGCGACTACGGTAGACACACTTAGGTGCATTTTCGCGCGATTTGGCATACCACGGACTGTCGTGTCGGATAATGGTCCACAATTCACCAGTGCAGAGACAGCGTGGTTCTTCCGGGAAAATGGGGTGCGCCATGTAACGACGGCCCCATACTACCCGCAATCCAATTGTTTGGCGAACGGGCAGTACACACCATCAAGGAGGGCCTGAAGAAAAATCGGGTGGGAACGCTGCAAAGTCGGCTTGCCAAATTTTTGTTGCGTTACAGGACAACACCGACCCGAGAGGAGCAGTCGCCCGCGGAAAGGCTTTTTGGATTCCAACCACGGACCCGCCTGAGCACCTACCTGGCAGAGGAAGACGGGGCGAAGAGGGAGGCTACCGTCAACGGAGTTCCGAACTCTGGAAAGAAAGAGTTTGCACCAGGAAGGGAGGTGTGGAGTCGACAGTACAGTCAGCTAGGTCAAAGGTGGCTACCCGGAACCGTGACAACAGTCGAAGGCAAGCGATTGTTAACCGTTAACACGCCAAGGGGGGTGCAACGTAGACACGTCGATCAAGTACGACCACGCGACTCGTCGACACCGATTAAGAAAGAACCATGCGAAACGCCAATGGCCATGGAGCAATTGCCACTCTCATCCAGCGGCATCCAGTCAACTAGCAGCGAAGCCCTTCAGGCCGGTCTGTCCGAGCCTGTTGAGGAAGCGTCTGGCGGTGGCATCGAGCCAGCAAGTCCAAGGTCCACGGCAGAACCACTCCCACTCCGACGCTCCACCCGTGCCCGCAAGCCGCCGGATAGGTTTTAGCTCAGAGGGGAGGAAGTGATATATCGTAGATTATCAGGTGCACGCGCCGAAGAACATACCGATAACACGTGCCTCCACCCCTCGCCACGGCGCATGCTCCGGCCTCGGGCCAGGGTATTAAAACCAAGACAGCAGCCTCGTGAATAAACATTGTTCCTTCTTGTTCTGGCCATGCATCGTCTTATTCTTCGCCCTTACGATACTACAACTACCATGATGCTCGCCAACGTAATATTTTACTTGGACGGCCCCCCACGTGTATGGTTCGATGCCA